CTAGATTCTTTGACAACATTGTTAAATGGCTTTCGAATCAATGCAATTTTTCAGATAGAAGGATCGGGGGAGAGAAGGAGAAGGAGAAGGAGAGAGAGAGAGAGAGAGAGAGAGAGAGAGAGAGAGAGAGAGAGAGAGAGACACTCAGACGGACAGGGAGGCAGGCAGGCAGACTGAGAAAGAGAGAGAGAAACCGATGACCGTTAGCTCCCTCGCAAACTCAAAGGGTGACTACTGTACTACGCCGCGACATCGGTGTCACCCAATACATGGCTCTACCGGATATCCGAAGATGAAGTGATTGGTTTTGGTACTAGTACGTACAACGCACTCTCCAAATTAGTGGTTGATAAAAGGTTAAAGATATTAACAAAGTATGAAAATAAAGATAAAAAGGGGGGAGATCAACTGGACCAGGGTATCCCTGGTAATTCCTGACACGGACTGGTACGAAAGTGATTTCAAGCTATGATAGAAAGCCTATAAATTCAGTGATCCAGCAGATAGTTATTCAGTTTGGAGCTCGTTCTCTCTTAGAAGACAACGAATCTAGAGAAAGCTATAGCATCGGAGAGACCTATTACTAACATGGTGAAAGTGACACTGATCGTTGCCATTGTGGCTGCTCTTGCTATCTCAGGTAAGAAATCAAATTATTACTCGGTATTACTTGATAAGTGCTAAATATAGAGCCAACGAATAGCTCACAGAAGTATATATGATTATTTCATATTTTATAATATGCATTTCTAAATTGTTCGTTACAAAATATAATTTATATTATTTCTTAAGCCTACACCAATCCGTTGGGCGAGTGGCAAAAGATAAGAATTATCTTTATGTTCAATCTGGTATTCAAGTTCAATTCAGTCAGAATTAGGCGTTTTGAATATCGAACCGATAGGGTTAAACACAAAGGGAAAAAACATCAAAGAAGGCGAGTTACCATTCTTATTTGTCACCTGCCATAACCCAATGTAGAGCTAAAGATAATAATGCAGAATGTGATCACTTAATTAATTCGATTTTTTTCTTCATTATCCCCTACAGCTCACGCACAAAGAGATTACAATGAACTACGAGGAAATAAGAATGGCAGAGAGAGAGGACAAGGTCGCTTTGGAGGAAGGCCGGGTGGAATGCAGATGGGTGGATCGAGGCAAGATGGTGGACCAATGGGTGGGAGAAGGTTCGATGGACCTGACTCTGGTGCCCCACAAATGGATGGACGGAGACAAGATGGTGGACCAATGGGTGGAAGGAGGTTCGATGGACCTGGATTTGGTGCCCCGGAGATGGATGGACGGAGACAAAATGGCGGTCCGATGGGTGGAAGGAGATTCGACGGACCTGGATTTGGTGGCTCCAGACCAGATGGTGCTGGAGGAAGACCTTTCTTCGGCCAAGGAGGCAGGCGTGGTGATGGAGAAGAAGAAACTGATGCTGCCCAACAAATTGGTGATGGTCTAGGAGGGCCCGGTCAGTTTGATGGTCCTGGACGTCGTCATCATGGTCACCGTCAAGGTCATCCTCAGGACCAAGCAGAGGAACAACCGTTTGGTCAGCGCAACGAAAGCAGCGAGGAGGATGGCCGTCCTCACCCTCACCACCATCGCCACCATGGCCACCACCACCGTCATCATAACCACACAGAAGGTCACCAAGGTCATAATGAGACGGGAGATCAAGATCAGGACAAACTACATGATACAAGGCCCTTCCGGTACAACCACTTCGGTAGAAAGCCTTTCGGAGACCGTCCCTTCGGCAGACGCAACCATACAGAAGGTCACCAGGGTCATAATGAGACGGGAGACCACCCCCATCGTCATCACAACAAGACCAGAGATGGAGATCAGGACAGACCAATGTTCGAGATGAGGCCCTTCCGGTTCAACCCCTTCCGTAGAAAGCCTTTCGGAGGCCGTCCCTTCGACAGACGCAACGGAACCGAAGAAGGATCTCCCAGGCGTGATGGCCATCGTCGGCCCTATGGTAACCGAGGACGATGGGGTGAGAATGAAAGTGAGGAGAAGGAGCATCCAACGACGGAAAGCGTAACGACATCTTCACCACCTGAAGTGGTCGCAATCAATGAAGAAGACATCAATGTGGTCGCCGAGGTGTAGAATTTGTTTTTAAAATATTGCTTGTGTAAATATATTGATAATAGTCATCAATGTCTTTCCTTGGACAGAATGCATATCTTACCAGAGACAGCAGCATGGATTGCTAGAGACTGAAAGCCAGTGAAAGGTGCATGAAAATGCTGACGAATTATCAAACTCTTATTTATACTGAATTTTTGAAGACTTGTTAAATAAATATATATAATTGAAATCGTACAAATACTTGTGAAGCGTTCAATATTAAAGCCCCTTATATTTTCACTATGCAGCTGTGATTGGTTGAAGAGGTAAAAGAGAGATAGATAGAGAGAAAGGCAGAGGGAGACAGACAGAGAAAGATGGGAGTAAGAGAGAAAAGAGAGAGAGAGAGGGAGAGAGAGAGAGAGAGAGAGAGAGAGAGGGGTGAAATAGATAGAAAAGGTAGAGAAAGCAAGGGACAGACAGAAATAGAGATGGATAGAGATAGATCACTGAGATAGAGAAAGGGGGAGAGAGAGAGAGACATACACAGAGAGAAACAAAGAGATAAAGAGATGGGAGTGAGAGAGAGAGAGAAAGACAGAGACAGAGACAGAGAGAGACAGACAGAGGGAGAAGATAGTATACAAATATTGACTGCTCATGAGGATGATGGTGGGAACTATCACTCCCAAGGTGGTGCTCACACCGGCCCCTCTATCACCCCGAGGCGAAGCCGAGGGGGTGATAGAAGGGCCGGTGTGAACACCACCGAGGGAGTGGTAGTTCTCACCATCATCCGATTACAGAGCAGTCCATATTTGTTTTTTATATCCTGCATCAAACATTTATTTAATTTTTTTTAAATACCATTTAGAAAACAAAAATTTAGACCCCAAAAATATCAATTTTTATCTAAAAAGATTTGAAATATTTTGTTTTCATTAAATTAAGATTTGAAAAAGAAAAGAAAAAATTATATTAAAAAAAAAAAAAATCCACATTTTTTTTCTAACTCCCAAATAGTACACTCATATACAGTAGTACTTTAATAGATGAAATGTTTCTGGTCACGTGACAAGCTCTCAACCATTCTGCTTTCTTGTTCTCTTTCCGCTCTGCGACTCCTTTTCTATCTAAAAACGGTTACCTCTGGGTTTTTGTGTTTTGTTTTGTTTGTTATAAAACAATGTTTTGGCTTTCGATTGGGCGGAGGATATGCCCGTGCCTCCCCATTTACTTGACTAATTGCTAGTCTGGGGAAGCCATTTCCAGCAAGAACACAAGCTTTTGTTTCTTCTTGTAAGAAATTATAGTTCATTGGATTAGATCAAGGTGAAGGCCAGCGTTTTTTTACCCTTTTTGTTTTAGTCAAGGCACCTTTTTAAGAAACAAAAAGGTTTCGCGTCACCCTAATTCCAAATTAATTTACAAAAGATTCATTTGATATCACTCTGACACTCGTCCCGCTCCATGACACTTTTAATACGATAAAAATTGACTTTATAGTCAACACACTAGATAAAATATAGAATTAAATGTCCAGGCACCTCGCTGCCGAATACATTGATACAAAACTCAATATGTGCAGTCAATTCGAAGCACGAATATGAGGAGATTCAGGCATCTCATTGCCCAGAATTATCCCTAAATGTTGCGAGCGGGTGAAGGGAACGAGCGTGGTAAAATTGAAGTTTTCATATAAAAGATATAACACATAATTATGTGGGCGCCTAACTGTCAAATAGAAGGCTATTCGGGCACCTCAATGCTCAAATATTAAGGCACTTCGTTGATAGAAATCATCATGTTTCTAAGTCTTGCGAAGGAGTGAAGCGAGTAAGGAAGAAAGACAATTTTCTATCCAGTAAATTGCTATTTCCTCATGAAATTACATACTGTACTTCAGTGGTCGTTAAGGTTTTCAAGAAATCGACGTTATTCCAAGAATTTTTTTTAAAATCTTATATATTCTTCAAATTCTTTTGTGGTACCCTAAAAATGTCTTGGGGCACATCGGTTGAAAAACGCTGGATTAGGCAATTAGCCTAGGAAAATGTAAAGGTAGGCTCTTGCTAGATTTACATATGCCGTCCATGTCAAAAGAATTATTGATTTTTCAGTTTTTCGAAGGCTCACTACCCCGGATGTTTATTTATCACGACCCTTCGATAAATACATATTTAGACTAATAAATTCGGTACTGAAAACAGAACAGAAATGCGGTTCTTACACAAAAATTTTGTAATTGTGGGAGACGAAATAATTTTCAAGGGACGCAATTGCAATTCATTCATAATGCATTATATACCATTAGGTTAATTTCAGAATGTGGATATAATTATGTAATTATTGGAATCGTAACTAATATGAGTTGATACGAACGAGGGGCTGTTTCAAAGGATGTCCTGAATTACTTTTGAATTTCCGAATGATGATTATGATTATGATGATGATGATAATGATGATAATGGTAATGATGATGATGACGACTGTAAGATAACGAAGAAAATGATGACTAGAATATTGATGATGATAATGGTAATGAAAATGATTGTAATGATGATGTTGTTATTGCCTAGATTTTTTGATAACTTTGTTAAATGGCTTTCGAATCAATGCAATTTTTCAGATAGAAGGATAGGGGAAAGGGGGAGAGAAAGAGAAAGAGAAAGTGAGAGAGAGAGAGAGAGAGAGAGAGAGAGAGAGAGAGAGAGAAACCGATGACCGTTATAGCTCCCTCGCAAACTCAAAGGGTGACTACTGTACTACGCCGCGACATCGGTGTCACCCAATACATGGCTCTACCGGATATCCGAAGATTGGTTTTGGTACTAGTACGTACAACGCACTCTCCAAATCAGTGGTTGATAAAAGGTTAAAGATATTAACACAGTGTGAAAATGAAGAAAA